TTCAAAACTACCAGCTGTTCCATGGGAGAAAGATGAAGATTTCTGCTCCTGTAAAGATTCACAGCCTCAGAAACCTTGTACAGGGTCATTAATGAGTTGGAACTGACTCCATGGCACATAACAACAACAACAATATTTGAACAATGGTTCAGCATTCAGATACTGACAGTTTGAACCCACCCAGAAGCTCCATGGGAGAAAAACCTGACAATCTGCTTCTATAAAGAGTTTAGCCAAGAAAACTATCTGGATCATGGGATCACCATGAGTAGAAATCCATTAGATGGTGTCTAACACCAACAAAAGCAGAAAAATTAAAAAGGTGGGGATATTGATGTAGAGAATTACCTAACCATGTCTCTCAACAGAGAATGCAAGGTAAGAAGCCATTCTCTAGAGAAAGGAAGAAAAGAACTGAGCCCCATATTGAACGGAGCCGGGGAGTTGGAGGGAGAAGAGATGTGTTCCACAGGACCAAAAGAGAACAGTTTCTTCCTGCATCCCCCCACACACCCTGAGAATGGGTGTGTAGTGGTCCAGAGTAATCACCTGTGTGGTCTTGTCTTAATGACTCCAGTGGAATCCCATGATCCATAGGTTTCCTTGGCTATAATCTTTATAATAACAGATCTTCAGATGGTTCTCTCGCGGAACCTCTGGATGGGTTTGAACTGTCAGCAACTGTGTGCTATACTGTTTGTTCAAATGCAGTAAGATAAGCAGTAGACTTCTTAACCATAGGTTGGCTGTTCAATCCACCAGCCCCTGCTTGGAAACTCTATACAAAGTTGCTATGAGTCACTGGAAGACACTTAACAACAACAGCAATGCTCCAGTGGCCTTGGGCCCACAGGCTCCTGCAATCTAGTGACCTTGGCTTTTTGTCTCCATGGTAACAGCTCACATCCTAAACTATTCCTTCCTGTGTGGGAGGCAGTATTTCAGAAATGGGGGAAGGCAGACTTGAACAGTGGTTTTTCTCTCTTGTGACCTTTCTCCTCTGGCAAATTGCATCCTTTTCCTGAGCATTTCCATCTCCTGGGGAAAACATTTACAGAAGAGGACACTTCTGTGACATTGTTTGAGATACATGCTGGGATATATTTTAAGAAGGAGAAGGCTGAAGATGCTTTTCCTTTAGTTTCACATGGCACTTCATATTCCTCAGGGTGTTACACTATTCTTTTCCTCAGACTCTCTCCAAAGAGGGAGCCCAGCATCTTGGTCTCATGCTGAAAGAGAGAAAAGTTGGATAGCTTCCCCAGAACTCCAGAACAACACAACAGTAGAGAGCGGCTAGAAACCCACATACAATTTGGTGGAGCCCTTCCCTGACCCCCGTTCGCCCCCTTCCTTCCTGGGTTCCAGTTCCTGCTGCGGCTACTATCCTGGCCAATCAACTGGTACATCTCCCTCTAGCTCTTCAATCCCATAAGCCACCACACCCCTGGGAGTCTCTCCAGCACAGTGCACTTGAGTGTAAGGATACAGAGCAAATCTACTCTCTGTCCAAACCTGGAGTATAAATTACGTTTTAAACTCAGTGTTCATTCTGTTCCACAACGTCTGGGGTCAGAGTAGCACTCTACAGCAAGATAAATGATCCTTCCACAGCTGGGTCCTAGAAGTGCATGCCTGACCACAAAATCCTCCAATCCAGGCTCAGAAGTACACCATGAGGTTCACTTTCCAACCGAGCCTCGAGCCAAGAGCGTTCATTCCTTGGCCCAACTTCAGCCTTTCCCGATAGTTTTGACCCCATGTTTCTGTCTGTGAAGGAAATCTTGTACTCTGCAGCATCTCTGCCTGCCTTTGACGTCTAAAGGTGTAATTAGAACAGCATGCAGTAAGCAGAATGAGCCATTTACCTCATCCCTAACATTTAAGTGTTTTAAAATATGTTTCTAATATCTTAGGTGCATGGGCCAAATTCCCCATTCCGTTTTTCACATGCATGAGTAACTCCACACAGACCAAACCCCTTGGGCCTTAGGTTCTGCTTAGAAGTTCTTTTATTTATTTATTTTTTAAGAAAACAAATATTCCATTAAAACGACATAGTGTACTCTGCATATTTTTAGGACAATTAGAGTTTAGAATTCCCTCTTCTCCCAACCATGGTAAAAAAAAAAAAGAAAAAAGAAAAAAGTCTGTTCTTTAACTGTTTACTTACCAAGAATGGTATTAAGCCGGCATTAAGAAAACCAAGAGGCTTTCTCATGTTTCACAATTTTGTCTCACCTTACATTGTCAACTGGCCCATCAGATACTCCGTATTATTTGAAAAGGAGCCAAGCTCTTTGTACTGTTGTCAGGTAACTCCTTTAGGGAGCCCTGTGTTACGAGTCTGATTGAAGCAGTTACTTGAAATAGAAAGCCAAACTCATAGGAAACAAAGGAACATTAGAAAGGAGGACACTTCTACCATCTGCTTGATATAAAATGGGTCACAGGTTTGATGATTGTCCTTTAGCTCTTCAGCTTGTGTAACAAACCACAAAGAAAAGACTTCAGTAGGTTGTCCAGATCTCAGCCTTCGGGCCAATGTGGGCCAGAGGGAAACAGGACCAAGTGGGAGGGGTCTAGAAATCAGTCTTAAGTGGGAGGAGTCTAAGAGAGAAAGGAAAGCCAACCCATGCTTACAGACTTCATGGGTTTATAGGTTTGTGTTGCTAGGACAACAGCAACTCCCTATCCATGAACCTGGGCTGCTGGGACCACTCATGTGGCTAATATTTGCCAAGCCAACATGCAGATCGAATCTTTTCTTGCAGTCAAATTTAGAGCAAACAACTTAGTAGGTTCAAGTCCAAAGACACCTGGCCACCAAATTAAAAACAGAGATGCTGATGAAAGGCTGTGTACAATTTGTTTTCCATTCGTTGCAAAGCGTCTCAAAAGATAGGCAAGTCAAGCCTTGCTTATCCCTGGCTGAAGGCAGAAATAAGATATGCCTTAGAGAGAGTCTAGTTTGGGAACTGACTATAACCGAGAGATGGCTGGAAAATATGTCTGAATTTCTTAGAAATTGGGAATTGTGTTGAAGAATCAAAGAAAGAATTCGTGACTTCCTGGGCAAAAAGTGTTTGTTTATTTAAATTAAAAAATACCCTGGACATTACAAACTGTTAAATATAGAAAACAATTCTATACAACTCAATAGAACAAGAAGGACGTATCTACATCACTTTTGAACAGGCGCAGAGAGACTTGCAGCCCACTTCAGCATAAAGCAATGGAAAATGTGGCAACGCACATGCCCGTTGCTGTAAAGTTTCAGAATTCAAGTGATTCCAGGCAAGGGGCCAAACTTTACGTGGCTTCTCTCAATTTACACAGCCCCCTTTGGAGTAAATCCACACTCTGAAATTTAAAGTGAACAGAGGGTCCTTTTTCTCTCCCTGACCCCACCATCCAAACATAAATTTCCTCTAGCTCTGTGTTAGGACAGACAGCTAAACCAGCTCCTAGCCTCTTACCCCTTCCCTGGTGGGAGTAGTCAGGGTTGTGTAGACAATCCAGGGAGATTAGGTTCTTTTTGCTAGAATTAAATCTGTGCTGTGTTTCTCTCCCCCCTTGTCTTCACTGGACTGAAAAGTCTAGGAATCTATGGAGACATTGGCAAGCTTTGCGGAACGTTTTACTTCTAGACTCTTCATTCCCCTCATTGGGAGTGTTCACATTCCACCACCAGAGTTTTACAGAATAAAAAGAGGCCTCTGCCTCTTTGGACCAATCCTGGGAAAAACTAAAGCAAGATGGGTTGGTGGTTCACCCTAAACTCCCCAGTTATCTGTGCTTGAAGACTCCAACTCCTCCTTCAACTAAGCAAGTCCCAGCCCTTTTTAGACTAACTGGCTAAGAAGGGACTACATTGGTCTCCTCCACAGCTTCCTCACACCAGGCACTGCACAGTTTATCACAGAGCCTTTAGAATTGAAACCCATCCTCCCAGGCCCCTGGGGATACATACAGATCATTAGGAGTCTCATGGAGGCAGTAAGCTACCCAATGACATGCCCAGGACTAAACAGCAAATGAATGTCAGGCCCAGGGACCAGGAACAGAACTTCTCCCCCAGTTTTCTGTCCCCTCTGCCTGAGAATGCCCTTCAAGATCTCAGCTACGTGACGGAATACCATGTTGTAGAGGCCCACATAATGAATGTCCTTCCCAGCTCAGAAGACGAGGCTGGGAAAATGAACAAGAGCAGAGCTAATGATTTGGCCTCATTCAACCCTACCATCACCCCTTCTAGAAAGGCCATTCAGAGTGCAGGTCAGATTCTAGATAAGTCCTTCTGACTGGTCAGTCACAGGTCAGAGAGCTAAAGGTCATAGGTTAAACAAGGGGTCAAAATAGCAGATCATCTAGCTCATATAACTCCAGCCAATATTAACAGGTCTAAACAATTTTTTTTTCTTACAGTATGCAAACCGGCCAGGTTCCAATCACCAGCTTTGTCCCATCAAAAGTCTTGCATACATTTTTTTCCCTCCGATCCAAAAGAAGCTGTGTAACTGGCTGGGAATTATGTTTCAGGCATTCAGTAAGGTTCTTATAGCCAACCAGATCTAGAAGAGCAAGGCTCTAAGAAAGTTAGCAAATGGAAACTAGGCCATTGGCATGTCCTAAGCAGCCTCTGCGTGGGCAGATGCGTAGGGCTTACCGAAGTTGTCCAGGGAAAAGCAACAGCACACACATCGCCCTGCACCCATTTCCGAACAAGAACCCCAGCACCCAGGTCCCAAAGTAAATATACCCACTGCATGTCTTCAGCGGTGGGTCCAAGCCACAAACCCACCACGGTCTTCTCGCTGCTGCTGCTGCTGCTGACTCTGGCTGAGCCTTGTCCCCCATCTCGTCCTGGTTTGGGGGTTCTTCGAGGGTCTCTCCAAAGTGGCAGCTGACCTGGACAAGTGAAAGCAGACACATCAAAGTGTCCTTGCTCTCGCTAAGGGTGCTGGAGGATGGGTTCACCTCCAGGGTCCCTGGGGGTGCTAGGAATTCTGGTGGATGTTCTCTGAGGAGCCTTCACTGCTTTCATTGAGGGGCGTCTCGGAAGTCTCCCCCAGCTCATCATCCGCCCCTTCCTCCTGGATGGTCAGGTGCACGTCGGGAGACGAAGACTCAGAGCTGACGCTGTCCCCTTCCATGGAGCAGAGGGTGCAGGACAGAGCAGGTGCCATGCTCTCCTGCAGCATGTTTAGCATCAGGGGCATGTGCACCGACCTCAGACCAGAAGCCATGGGCAGTGGTTTCATAGCTTCTTCCCAGAGGCGCTCCTCGTCCTTGTACAGCAACAGCAAGCTGGACTTCTTCTCCCGCCGCTTGGATTTCATGTAGCCCATCATGATGCCAATCAAGAAGACGCCGTAGAAGGACATGACCACCAGGATGTAGAAATATTCGTTGCCGTTTCCGTGGCCACTGTCGGACACATGGGATTCACCGAGACTGCTGGTCATGAAGGTGCTGGCATGGGTGCTGTTCAGTGGCTCCATCTTCAGCATTGAAGCACTGCCCACGCCGCGGGGTCTGGGGAGAAACCTGCAGGTTAGGACACTCCCACAGCTTCTCAGGACTGGGGCGGGGGAGGGGGGATAAGACAAGCCTGGTAGTAAATGCATGCAGGAGGAGAGGTGAGAGTTCCCTATACTATGGATTAACTATGAGGAGTTGGAGTGGGTGGGGTAGGAGGCAAGAGGAGGGGGTGGGAGAAGAAAGGAGGACTTCAATTTTTCGCTTTCACGTGCCTGTCGTATTTGCATTTCTTAAAATGAGCATGCATTTTCTTATCATTTTAAAAAAGAGGAAAAGTTCATATAAAACCAAGAAGACGAAAAGAAAATTAGTAACGTCCTAATTAAAGAGGAAAAAATACTTTCTTAACTAAACAGGAAAAAAAAAAAGTTTGCATTTTGCATCTAAAACTGAAAATAAGTTTAAATTCAAAGTGAACTTTCCTTGGGACAAAGAAAAGAAGTAGAAAGAAAGGAAAGGAAAACTTTCTCCATTAAGCGTCAGCAAGCTCTCTCTCTCAAATATTTCTAAAGCCAAGTAGTATTGCTAACTTACCAAAAACCAGCAGAATCGTCCTGAATTTTGAATTCCTGAATTGCTACGTCCAAGAGCTAAGTACAAGAGCTTCCAGCGTCCTTCCTCTGAGCTGGATTCAGCACTCTGACCATCAGCAGCTGCAGGCAGGATATATAGTCTAGAAATGCATCGTCACGTGTTTTGGGAGGGAATTTTACAACAAAGGTTGGCCCGCGGAGTGAACTGCAGTACAACCTTCTGAGTTCCCCAGCTGGGAAACCACTTTGAACTGGGCACAGCTCCTCACTCCCTAGCACCGAGCCAAAGTCTTCTGGGTGCCATGAACATGCAGGAGAAGAGGAAGAAAAACTGTGCAAAGTTGGAACTGTGACCCACAGAACACCAGTTCATGGTATAGCCCACTTTTGCGAAATTGGTAATCTCTGCCACCTACAGGTTTGCAGTGGCAAACACCATCATTTGGAAGAAAGAGCTGGAAGCCCGTGCAAGATTTTTCTCAAGCAGCTAGAGTTTCTAGGCACACAAAAGTAACAACTACGTGTAAGATTCAGCTCATTCACTAAAGAGGAGACCTGTGGGGTGCAAATAGTTCATGCTCAGTTCAAATCTACTCACCCCGGTGCTGTGGAAGAAAGTCCTGGAGATCTGCATCCACAAGATTGTTGTTGTTGTTCCTATTGTTGTTGTGTGCCATCAAGGGAGAGTCTATGTACAGTTTCTGAAACCATAAACCTTTACAGAAGCAGAATGCTTCCTCTGTCTCCCGCCAAGCAGCTGGTGGATTCGAACTGCTGGCCTTGCAGTTAGCAGTTCAATATGTAACCCACGACACCACCAGCACTCCCTTCATAAAGATTATAGCCAAGAAAATCCTGTTGAGCAGTGCGATACCACGTGGGGTCTCCATGAGTTAAAATGACACTAGGTTTTGTTTTCGTTTTAATTTTAGTGTTTTTTTTGTTTTGTTTTGGGGGGGGGGGCGCAATGGTTCTTCCACTAACTTACTAAGTGCAAACGTAATCAATCCTTAGTTAACTTTTCTACACATCAGATTCCAGCAGTCTGTAAAATTGCTGGGGCTAGGGGATCTCAGCAGGTAGAATTATGTGAACCATGATAGGCTGGCTTTCCCAGCTTTACCATGCTAAGATTTCAGTTAAACTCCTGTAGGTTAGGCGTCATGGTGGTGCAAGGTCTTCAAACATGAACCAGAAAGCTGATCGTTGCACTCCACCCACAGTGCCTTGGAAGACAAGTCTGATAACGTGTTTCCAAAATGTCACAGCCATGAAAACTATGGAATACAATTCTGCTTTGAAATACATAGTGCTGCTGTACGTGAGGATTGACTCACCGACAACTGGTTTGATATTTGGTCGGGTTGGCTTGGTGCAGGTTAACTCTTTAAAAACAGAGAGAAGTTCTCCCACTTCCATGTCAAGCTCACCAAATCTTTTTATTTTACTTTTTTAATACAAAGCCTCATCTTCCAGATTCTTTTCAGTGGTCTTCGTGAAGTGGAATGGTGATCTGGTAACAGACCATGAGCAGGTTTTACTCCACGTCTACCCCACATAGCTGCCCCTCCAGAGTGTCACACCGAGACAAGTCACACAGTTCTTTGCTATCCCCTGAAGGTCAGGTGAGGGGCTGGAGTTCTGCTGGGGAACAGCTGGGTACAGTTCAAGTTTCTAAAGGCAAAGGAGGCCATGTATAAATGACCACACTGATGTCCACAGTCAGCCTGGCCCCAGTATACTTATTCTAAGAAGTTCACACTTGAAGTCAACTTTGAGCGCTACTCTGCCTCCAGTCTCTTGTAGACTGTAGATTCCGGTTGGATTATCTTAGACTCCAACTGAAGGAAGCAGCTATTGTGGTTCTGCCGTTGGGACAGGAAGAAGTTGAAGGATAGCATGGCAACATCCCTCTGACCTCTTCACTAGGGCATTCGCTGCCCAGGCACTGGAGCCTTCACTCGCTCCTGACCCTACTTCTGGTAGGATACTTGTAGGAAGAGCTGGAAGATGAACACACACTGCTGTTTTATTTCACTGGACTGTTTGCCCTGTGGTTTCAGGCTGGGCTCAACCACAAGCTCCCAAATGGCACTAAAGTATCAACTGCTGGTCACCCCAACACCAAAGTCAGCAGCAGCCTAAAACTTTGCTCACACCAATAAAGACACCCTTACAGCTCTATTTGACCTCTTCAGTCTGATCTTTTCATCCTGTGCTCATCAGAAAGGCCTGGCCACTTGCACCCACAACTAACCTACTGTGATCTGTAGGGATAATGGAACAAGAGCAGTCCATGAAAGGCATGCCTGGTGTTCCCAGGATTGTTGAGTTTGTGTTTTGGGATGCATGAGTTTATTAATCACTTAGTGTTTGTCAAGAATGATGCACTGAAACTAAGAGCTCTGAGGTGGAAAAGGAGGAGATGGGGAAAGGTGTTATCAAATATCAAGAGCAAGAAAGTGCAAAGCCAAGGACAGGACATCAGACTGACATTTCAAACAAGATAAATCTCAGACCTGAGTCAATAGTTTCAAGAACATAAAGCCAAATGGCATAGGGGCAGGGCCAAGTCCAGAGAGCAAAGCAAGTCAGAGACATGGGAAGACAAAATGATTTGCAGGATTAAGAGAGGGAACAGTCCAGGTGAAATTCTGCAGGACAATTGTTAATCCCACTGACTCCAAGCATGGATGTTTCTATTACGGATAAATGAAATGATATTAATAAAGCAATGAGCACCACGACTGGTATACTGTGCGTGCTCAATCTGTATGTGAAAGGCTGTGGTTGTTAAGAGTGCCTGGTTGGTACCAAGAGTGGCAGGTTGCTTCCTTACGTGCATGAGCCCAGGTAGAGAAGGCTTGTTACTGTTGTTAGGCATCATTGAGTTCATGCTGACTGATACCAACTCCATATGTGCAGAGTAGGAACCGATTCAACGGCACTTAACACCAACCACGGGTTCTTCATATCCATGAAGGCCAATGTATCAAGAAAATTTTTATGGTTTATGCTTTTTTTGTGTCCTAGCATAATAAAGTGGTTATGAATTGGGCTGCTAACCTCTAGGTCGGCAACTCAAAACTATCAACCATTTCACGGGAGAAAGATGAGGCTTTCTGTTCCCATACAGATTTACAGCCTCAGAAACCCTATAGAGGGTCACTCTAAGTTGGAAGCGACTCCACAGCACATAGCCAACACCACCACTTTTGAAAGCCGTTGTCTTAAATATTGGAGATTCCACCAACTTTAGCAGTTTCTAGAAGCTGTCAGTGAAATATTAATATTCTTACCTTGTACTCAATTTGTCCATTGTAAATCAGTTTCTTATTTGCTTGCATATACTGCTGGTTTCTGCTCATCTTGTTATGTTTTGTTGTTTTTTGGTGGTTTGGGGTTTTTTGTTTGTTTATTTGTTTTCCCTACTTGTTCCAGACACACAACTTTCTCCGGCTCTGTGAGTACTTTCATTTCCTGGTCACGTCATTTTCACCAGATGGCTCAAGTCCTGGCCACACAGCTCTGAAATCACGTTAGCAGCTTCTGCGACAAAGCCCATGCTGGAGTAAAAACTCAGCAGCAATTCTCATCAGATGATATCTTACTCTGGAGTCAGAGACAGGGGCCATTGCATCATTTCTCTGTATCCCTGTGAGCCACCCTCAGGCATGTCGGGAATAGGATAGTTAATTGTCTCAGAATCTTCAGAAATATTCCACAAGCCCCCTCCTGAGCAGTCACTGAGAAACAGAACAGAATTAGCTGCAGGGTCACCAGGCAGGGGTCTCACAGAATATTGTGAAATGAAGCCTGTGATACCCACCACCGGCTCTGCTTTTTCACAGAAGCCCTTTTTGAGAAGTGATATCTGAGAAGTCTTCCTGTGATCATGCCTTCTAATGGCCTGAGTCATTCCTCACTCGGTGAACAAAACAGTGCTGGGTATCTTCATGTGGGGCTGAAGAAGCCGTCCAGATCATTCTTATGATACCCACTGTGTCTCAGGGGGATGTGACTACATGCAGGTCCTGCTTAAACATCATCCAAAAGGAAATTGGGATTGATGAGCTCAGAACTCCTGAAATTACAGAGTGGCTTTGTTTTACCTTTATTATTGATTATGCAAACAGCTTTCCATCTGATATTTAACAAACACTACTTGCATAAGGAGCCCTGGGGGTGCAGTAGGTTAAGTCTCAGGCTGCTAACCACAAAGTCGGCAGTTTGAACCCACTAACTGCTCCATGGGAGAGAGCTAAAGCTTTCTGCTCCAGTAAAGATACACAGCCTCAGAAACCCTAGGGAGCAGTTCTACTCTGTCTGTAGGGTCACTGTGAGTCAGAACCAGTTCAATGGAAGTGGGTTTAATCTTTGGTTTGGGGCCTTACATAGCACCTAAACTGTTTTCATAGCTGATGTAAGCACTTTACAGA